TTTGAAATGATTTTGACCACTATTACACACAAATATAAATGCCTGGTAATCATACGAGGATACGTTTAGTTCCTCGCAAAATAAAAAACTATTTTTACCTACATTTGTTACTCAAATGCCATCTCACTATTAACTCACTAATCTTTTTTGCACAGCTCACTATTGTCATTTCACTAATCTTCCTTGCAAAGAGTATAAGTTGGCAGGTATGCACTTCTTATGTATTATGATAGGTATGAAAATCAAAAAATATGGTGTTTTGCAATTATTATTTTTAGAAATTTATTTATTTGTTTTCTTTTTTTTTAACCATCACACACTTATTTTAAACAAACTTTTTTTGCTGTTAATTAAATTTTAAAAACAAATTATTTTAAAATATATTAAACGAAATTGTATTTTAAAAATTACTTTTTTTTTTCAAGATTTTTGAGTATTACTTATGCAATACTGTTTTATAGTTGTTATATTAGTGGCTATTTTTTGGGATCGAAATGTCTGCGTAGCACATACACTTTAATTCTTTTCGGTTTACTTTCTATTATATATATATATATGTAATACAAAAATAATAAATACTTTAGTATTAATAAAGGAATTAAAACTCTTTTGGTTTCATAAAATGTCTTTGTTAAAGAGTAAGCGTAGAGCTATTCTATTTTGGGAATTCTAGGCTGAAAACATACCATTAAATAATAATAAGATTTATATTTGAAAGGAGGAGTTATTTTTAGAATCTTGTCCCTCTTTCACTTCCATATTAGGAAGCATTAAATGATTTTCCATAGTGCATATAGTTACAAAGGCATGTACGACTGGGACCTAATTACACCAATCTCTGTACTATTTAATGCAGGAGCGAAGGTTTTCGCATGTCTCTTGCTGAACAACGTGTTCCAATAAACACCTGCCGGAACCATCCGGAGTCTTGTCCACTCCCTCTCCTTTGAGGAGGGCGGATGTGAACTGTTATAATCACCAGCATAACTTTTTATAAACCTTTTGATAACTTATTATGGTTTTGACTGCATTTCTTAATATGAATACACCAATGATAACAGAGATGTAGCCCTGTTATTATAAGACGCCAGGATTATTCCTTAGCGGAGACCGGCTGTGACTTCAGAAAAACCCCATCCCATTACCACCGGGGGAGAAAAATTGCTGCAGTTAAAAAAGCGTCAAAGGAAAAGAAGAATGAGGTTGTCTTTTCAAGTACATGTACCTCATCGCTAGTTGGAATGTTGATGTTGGATCGAGCTCGTCTCCTGCAACCAGTTGATGTGTGTTCTATCCTTACAGTTCCTTACGGTCCTTAGTGCAAAATCCGATGCTCCTTAGAGCTCAAAAATGTAAAAAAAGTAAAATCACAATTAAAAAAAAATGATGTTTCTTTTTCTCTTCAGCATAAAAAATCATGAAGGTTGAAGAAAATGGAAAGCAAGAGTAACTGTAGATATACTTTTTTCTCATATTTTTCTTTCTCACTCATTTGATTAAATATTTTATTGATTTTAGATATGAGTAGTGATATAAAACTTTTTATTATGAATAATTGAATAGAATATTATTAAGAGTTAGATTGCATTTCTTGTGCTCATATTGCTTTTTTTTAAAAATATGATGTAATATTGTTATTTATTGTGTATTTAAAATGTTTTTAAAGGAAAAAAATGTGATTCAAATGTCAATTAAATTAGTGATGGCAAACAAAATTAAGTTAGTATTTAAACTTTTGTTTCCAAATGATTTTTCTAGATTAAATCGCAACAAAATTCTAAATTTTTCAGAATTTTCTTTTGAACCTAACGATGAAGAATTTTCAAACGAACTGACAGAAATTTGTAATACTTTTAATTTTTCGGTCTTGGTCAAAACTAAATATTCCTATTTAAAAAATGTGAAACCTTATATGTTACCCAAACAAAAGGACAGTTAACACTTAACAAAATTTGTGAGTTTCCCTTATTACGATAAGCAAAATTATTAACTCAGCTAAGTTTTTATACTTGATACTGATTTACCACATGCTTTAGTAGGGTTGCAGACTTGCAAAGATTTTTGTTTATTTATTGACTGTGTCGGGCCAGGTGTTACTCAATTTGGTAAGAGACTGATCATCGCTGTTAATTCTAAAAGTGACAACTTATCTTTGCACATTTAACAGCAGAATTCTCAAAATGTTAAGGTTAAAAATGATGAAAAAGATGTTTAAAAAAAAGTAAACATCGAGAAAAGAAAAGTTAATGATGTTTCAAAAAAATAAGCATCGAAAAAATGAATGTTAAGGATGTTTCAGTAAAAGTAAACATCAAAAAATAGAAAGATAGAATGTCCAAAAAGTTCAAATGATTCGAAGATAGATCTAGGTAAGGGATGCATTCATTATCAGGTTAATATCGACGAAAAAATATGTAAAGGGTAACAAAAACAAAAAATAAAAGGAAAAATAGGTAAAAGAAAGAATGACCAAGAAACTGATTACAAAATAAATAAAAAGAAATTTGAGTAAACAAAATTTTGAAAAAGTACATGTATCAAAGCTTAGGAAATATCACAACCCACAAATGTTGAAATTAAATTCTGATTAAATGACACTTGTTGTCCAGCTCATTTGCATAAAAATTTTGTATATTTTTGTGTGAAAAATTTTAGTAGATTAGTTATATAAATATGTTTCATTTTTCTTTCTGTTTAGTTACTAAACAGATAAATTGCATTATCATGTTCTTTATATTTTTGTCAGTGTAAATGTTCTATTTGTTCTACATATAATTGAAAAAATATTATTTGTAGTAGGAAACAGCCAACCTAAAGTTTAAAAATTTAAAGTTTTCTAAATTTTTTTTATATTGGCTTACCAAAATTTTTTTGGGGGGAGGGGATGTAATACAAAAATAATAAATACTTTTGTATTAATAAAAGAATTAAAACTCTTTCGGTTTCATAAAATGTCTTTGTTAAAGAGTAAGCGTAGAGCTATTCTATTTTGGGAATTCAAGGAAACATACCATTGAATAATAATTAGATTTATATTTGAAAGGAGGAATTATTTTTAGAATCTTGTGCCTCTTTCACTTCCATATTAGGAAGCATTAAATGATTTTCCATAGTGCATAGAGTTACAAAGGCATGTACGACTGGGACCTAATTACACCAATCTCTGTACTATTTAATGCGGGAGCGAAGGTTTTCGCATGTCTCTTGCTGAATAACGTGTTCCAATAAACATCTGCCGGAACCATCCGGAGTCTTGTCCACTCCCCCTCCTTTGAGGAGGGCGGATGTGANTAAGGAAACAAAATATATATATATATATATATATATGCATGCTAACACCAATTTTCTTTTTTTTAAATCCCACTTTTATAAGTATCAGAAAATTTTGAATTGCTTTTTTTTTAAAGTTTTATTTTTATATATTTAGTCCCCTAATAGATAACAAGATAATAGATTTCATTATAAATTTTTCAGTTTGGAAATGCTAAAAGTTCCAACATTTTACGCACACTTTTTTTCTCTTCAGAATTTAATTTTTGTTTTGTTTCTAGCTGTATTTAGTTTAAAATTCTATAAATTATGCCTACCAATTTAAACAGCTTTACATTGTAAAATAATTTTATAGCACAGCAAACAGATAATAATACTAACAGCAAATAAAAATACAATTAAATATAAAATTCAAAAATAAGTAATTTTTTTAATAAACAAAACTTACAATTAATAAAAAAACTGCAAAGTTGATATATATAATATGACTTTTTTTTCTTTCAAGAAACCATTAGGGGTATACATTTCCTTGTATTCCCATTCACCAGTGTTTCTCAACTGTATTTACTAGAAGGACCTGTAAAATATTTCAGCGTTTTAATAGATAATTAAAGTATTGTAATTTGAGCTAATGGCATAATTTTTTTTTAGTTATACAAATTGAGGCATTTCTATAAACTTTGACCAGTTTGTTTCTCTTCACATACTTTCAGAAAGGAAAAATATTTTAAGCTTATGCCTATAAATAAAATATATATATTAATTTTATTAGAAACTATTAATCCACAAAACACTGTCCTACACTAAACAGGTTGAGAAACAATGTTAACAGTTAATCGTGTTAACAGAGCGTTTCTAATAGACTATATATTTTTATTCTCAGTTTTTTCTTGTACGGAGAAACAGATAACTAGTAACATAATGAATTGTGATTCTCAATGTTAAAGTTATATCTCCGAACTAAGAACGATTTTTTTTAAACTTCTGTTTTGATTATTTTAATTAACTTCTCTTTTTAGCAGCATTTTTTAAAGAGCGTTTCTAATAAACCTTATTCTTTTATGGTAACTTTTTTCTAAAGACATGGCAAGGTCAAAAAAGTTAAATTAAGATTTTTAGCATTAAATCTTTTGTTAAAAAATTAAGAAAGATTTTAATTATGACACGGCAATTAAGAAAGTTTCTATTAAACTTTAACTTTACTTTTTCTTCAAAATAGGGTAATTAGAAAATTAAGCTTCAAAATTTTCTTTAAAAGATTAAAACTGATTTTTATTTTTTATGTTTTACTTTTGTAAATAATCTTAGTTTTTTATAGGCGTTTTTTTATGACTGCGCTGCATTTTAAAAAGCATTTCTGATAGGCATTATTTTTTTCAATGTTTTAGGAATAATTTTTTTCTATAAAATAAAATATTATTCTTAGCATTAAAGTTTTGTTTTAAGAATTAAGATAATATTTTTTCTTTTTTCTTTTATTTTTAATTTTATAACTATAGTTAATTTTTTATTAGCTGTTAGTCAGTTTTTTTTAATCTTAAATAATTCTAATTATCTTAATATCTGATTCTAATTATCTTAATAACTAAACCTTTATTATCTTATACATTTCAATTAAAGTTTTTTCCCCTTTACCCCATATCAAACTCTTCTTTATGACAATGATAAAATTGAAGTTTGTTTTTATATATATATCTTTAGTATTCACACATTTGTTTTTAACATTTTAGTACTTTGAGTTTATTTGCTGCAAATGTGATATTTGCCCATCTTTTATTTGAATGTCCCTCGAAAGCATTAAAAATGTTGGATGACGGATTCCAAAAAGCAGCTGAGTCTATATGGATAAAAAGGAACATGACTTCAAAAGTAAGTACAGTGGGACCTATCACTTATAATCTGTTATTATGCCTTTTGTTGCTTATATTTTAAATTTAAGAACTGCTGTTTTCCCAGCGAAATGTTTCAAAAAGGACAAACTATTCAATCAAAAGAGAGAAATTTATGAAATATTTAATGTTAAAAAAAGGCACATAAAGATTGCAAAATAAATATTTTTGCCATACGATCACCAAATAGCAACCTTGTTTAGGATTGTTCATATCTCTCTCCCAGAAATAGCTAAGTCGTATCGTCGGATGCCTCATGATGAAGGCGGAGCTAAGTGCAAACTCCTGGTAAATAAACTATAGGGAAATACTCAGAATTATTTATTAGTTTTAGGGATTTTCGTAAAGGTCGTAAAATCTTGATGCTACGATCTTCAGTTTTGATCTTTTTTAAAATTAATGCATTAAGTTTAAAGTGCTCAGATTGTGTCTGTTTTGTTTTTCTTGGAGAAAAAGTTTTGAGAAACAACCTTAATATATATATATTGCCAGAGAGAACTGATTGATTATAAAAATCCCGCTGAGAACTGATTGATTATAAAAATTAAAATTTAGAAACAATGGATGAAAAAAAGTACAAGTAATCTGCCTCTTGTGAAAGTTACAGAATAAAGTTGCTGAAGATGTCGCTGTACTCTGTAGAGAGTTCTTGAAAAGAGTACAAATGGTGTTAGGCTGTAATCTAACCTGTGATATTCCAATACCAGAAACACATGTTACTTATACTTAATAGAATACATTATCGAGTTGGCAATTTTTGTAACTGAATTCCAAACATTTTGTATGAAATTTTTACAACTTTCTTAATAAACGTATGGTTTGTTTCATACCTCTGCTGGCTTTTGTTTCCAAGAATTTTAATTTTGAAATCAGACATTCCTCCACTGAACATTCTGTAACATACCTATTGTATTAAGGGATTGCATACAAAGATGCATTAAATAGTATTGCACAAAACATAGGTAAATATTGTTTTTCCTACTGTTCATGTACATTAAGATTTTTCAAAAGCACATCTTTTATCTCTATAGTTGGTAGTTAAAGTTATAATAATTTATTTTTGCTGTAACTATTTTTATATTACATCAATTTCAGTATCTATGAGATAAAAATTAATTTTGAAACTTTTTATTATTCAGGTGACCTTTAAAAATATTCATGCCAGACTAACTGCTCTGCCAAATTTGCCTGAAATTTACAGGCGTATATTTCCAAATTGTTCTGATGCTGGACAATTTATGTGTTTGTGCGGTAAGACTCTTTTCTTTTCGTGTTATTATAATTCATATTTTTTTCTTTTTGTATATTTACACACTTTTATATGCAGGGACTGTGATACGTACTACTGCACCAAGGCTTCTGGAATACAAGAAATTGTGGAAATGCACCAAATGTAAGCACTCATTTACAATAGAAGCTGAAGTAAATCAATATTATGTTTCTGAGAAACCAACAGCATGTCCTAATCCTGAATGGTGTAATAACAAGAGCTTCACTTTGTTGAGTAGAGGTAATCCAAAATCTTATCTTATTCAAGACTGATACACACTTGTAATTATTTTTTTAATATTATTTTTCAGAAATGTGAATCAAATAATGCGCTTTAATTTTATACTGCTAGGATCAACTTATAGACAAGTTTGTTACATTTAAACGGATAGGGCAAAATTAACTGTTGTTACTAGCTAAATTTAAGTTAAGATTTAAAATATTGTCTGCCAGTCACCACCTGTCATAACATCAATATCCAGAAAAGTTTTTTATTTCCTGCAAGTTTCCTAAAATTTTTCTTGAATTTAGAAATGAATCTCCATAGTTAATGCTTTGAAAAAATTAACACAAATTATATTTTTTTAATCCCTTAAAATTTTCAATTTTTGGAAAAGGGACCACTGTTAAAAATTCTACAACTACTACTTTCTACAATTACAACTAATACTACTTAGATTTTTTTAGGTCTTTAAAATTCTAACCTATGCAAAGAACTCTTCAGAAACTTTTAAACTTATTGAACCTTTCTCTAAATTATAAAAGCGATGCTTTCATGAAGCTTACTCTGCTAGAATGTATGAGTAACGCTACTTTTTGTTTGCAATCTTCCAATTCAAGAATCAATTTTCATACGTGTGTGTGAATTAAGAAAAAAAAACCGTTAAAAGTATTAACAAAAAAAGAATGTGCTGTAATTTTTAAATTTATAAATAATGTTCAAATTAATTCAATTATAGATTTTCAGTATTTAAATGTTCTTATTATACAGTCTCTTACTATGTAATTTTTGGTAAAAAATGTGGACATATTTTATAGAAATTGGACTCTTTTGACAAAAATAGTTTTTTCAAAATTTTGTATTGTTTTTTATTTTTTTTCTTACAAAATTTGAAATTATATTAAAAAAAATTGAAAACAGTATCATTAACCGAAATTCTAGATTGAACACCATACTTTTTTTAAAATGTCTTATACTTGATGTAGTTAATTAATGTCTCCTATTGTGTGGTTCATTATTTAGAAAGGATAAATAAAAAACATTTTTTACAATACATTTCAATTGTGTTTGGCAGTTTATAATATTTTTTTCATTTTTGAGGAAACACCAGGTAGCACCATATTTTTGTCAGCTTTCCTCTAACAAAAAATAAAATTTCATCCAAATTGGTTCGCGTCTTTTTGAGATGTTTGTAGCAAAAATTCACATTTTCTCTGAGAATAAGTAGCAGTGATAAATAAAGTGATGAAGTCCCATTCCATGTCTTGAATTAATCCTCCCCCCCTTCTCTTTCTTCCCCTTCTCAGTTGTACAGGAATGTACTAGGTACAATATTTTCTCTTTTCTTTATATTGTGAAATATATATTTCTTATTTCCGCTTTGTCTTAGAACTATGTTTAAATGTAGTTTTCAGTTCCATATAGTTTCCTAACTTAAATTTTTTTATTTTATTTGAAAATCAAGACAGAAACTAACGTACTTCTTTCTTCTATGACGCTCCGCATGGTGAAAGCATGCAAAGTGTTGCCTGAGGTAGAAAGCTCTGCTCTTTGCCACCTGTAACCCATTTCAATCGCCAATGTTGATTGAACTATGCAAGAAGTAGTATTAATATGTTAGTTATGGAAATATGTTTAATATTTGTTTGATTAAATAAATGTTGATAAATATTAGTTATTTCTATTTTTAGTGTAACTGTTACTGTATAACTTACTAATTTAAAAATTATGTTTCATTTTTGGTATTTATTGAACATTTCATGTTGATAATGAATGTATTTTAGATATTGATCCATTATGTTGTAAAGATTATCAAGAAATGAAAATACAAGAGCAAGCCTACAATTTAAGTATTGGATCCATTCCTCAATCAATGTGCATTATTCTAGAAGATGACCTGGTTGATAACTGTCAAGCAGGAAATGATGTTATAATAAGGTGCAAAGATTCATTCTCTTAGATTTCATGCATTGAATTTAGTTTTATATCTTTTTTATCTATTTTTTCCAAGTGGGTCTAGGCGCACGAATAATACTTTTGTTGTGTTTGACAGTTATTCACAACATAGAATCTCTCATATGAATGTTTACAATGTGTACTATTTCAATTTACGTTGCTATTCAATTAAGTTATAATTTTGTATTTTTTTATAAATTTATTTGAAGATAAATTGAAATGTATTAATTCTCCTCCACTTTTCTGTCACAAGAACAGCCAACCCGATTTTTTGTGTTTACGACTACTAATGTTCAACTCTGTAGCCTTGCAGTTTTGAACCCAATCCAGAAGACAATAGAACTCCTGTATCAAGTATTGGGAGAAATTTGATTTTGCGGAGGACTCTTTGATGGAACTAACCGGCATTTGCATTACATGGAGAGGAAAACTAAGAAAACCTCCCAGGGTTAGCCTGATGGTAATGGGACTCTAACCATGATCCGTCTGCCACTGAGGATATTTTACATCAGCACTGTGGTCAGTGCAAGCCGGAGGCTGAATTCGCTTCGACCAGCCATCGCCGGGATTCGAACTGGTTCACCTTATTGGAAGGTGAGCACTGTATCCCCTGAGCCATCATGGCTTGTATTAACCTATTTCTTATATCCGTCTTTGAACAGCCGACCCAGTTTTTGGGTTTACGACTACTAATGTTCACAACTCCGTAGCCTTGTAATTTTGAACCAATCGAGAAGAAAAGGAAACTCCTGGATCAATACCCCCCGAGGTATGATTTGTTATGGGAACATGGATGACTTTGTGACCTTTTATTTATTTATTATTTTTGTACGAGTCTGAACAATATCATTTTTCAAGTTTTATTTATGGTCACAAGTTCAGTGCTTGTAGGGAAATGAAATTTCTCTCAAATTTTACACATTATTATGATTAATATTTTGCATGTATATTTGCTTGCTACCTTTAATACAGACTTAAATATACCCCACATTTTTACGATTACATTTTTGCCTTATGTTAGCCCCCAACAGGGCTTTTTTTTTTGTATGGCCTTGTATAAAAAAAAGTGCATCCCGCGTACAGTAAGTTTTGATTTCAATAATCAATACTATATTGTCTCAACAACTAATGCAGTTTTTATTATTTTTGTTATTTTTTTCTTAAAAACTAGTAAAATTTTTAAAATCATTTGTTTGTGTTTGTCTCATAGTGGAGTTTTGATTCAAAGATGGAAACCATTAGTAAAAGGAAAATTTATTGACATTGAGTTGGTCTTGTTTGCTCATAACGTTGAAGTGAAAAATAAATTGATGCCAGATGTTGTTTCTGAAAATTTGGTAAGGTGAATTAAAGTTGCTGAAATATTTTATTTTTTAGCCATTTATTTGAACTTTTGCAATGTTTTCATTAGTTTAGTTAGTTTTAAATTAAAAACTTGTTTTGTTGATAATTGTAAATTTTTTAAAACAAAACAGAAATGAGAAAATAGTGGTACAAAACTTGTTTAGATTTTTGAAAAAGCATTGGATACTGCAAAAAACAGTGAAAAATATTTGCTTTAGAATTGCTAATCTAGTTTTTTTTTCTGACCTTTATTCTCCATCAATTATTTCTTGTAAATAGTCATTGGCTTAAAATATTCAAAGATGATCAATTATTTATATAAATATTTGGGAAAAGAGTTAATAAGTTTAAGATGTAATTTTTGTAATGCATTGTCTTGTGCCAAGATGTGTATTTACTTCCAATAATAAATATGATCTTTATAAATAAATATTAGGAACTGCAGAGTATTTTGTTTATAATAAAATGTATAAAAAAAGATAATTGTGGATAAAAATTTATGTTACATGGAATGCTATGACACTAACTTAAAATAATTTTCAATTAAATTGAAAATATATTAAGCTTTTTATTTTTTTTTCTATGCAAAGTTCCCTCAATTAAAGTATTAATTCTTTATAGGTGAATGAATTTGGCCTATTTTGGATGGAAAACAAATATGACCCACTGAAGGGGCGAGATTTCATTCTGTCCTCTATTTGTCCTCAAATATTTGGTTTGTACATTGTAAAGCTAGCTGTAGCTCTGATACTAGCAGGTGGAGTAGAGGTAATTGTTTATGTTTTTTTTTTTTCATTTCCTCTTGTATTTTTGATTTTAAAGATTACACCAGTGGTAAAGTTTATGACTCAATATTTCTGCTGTGATTTCTTTTTTTCTTTTCTTTCTTTTGTAGTGCAGGGAAACATGTGAAAGTTTTTATTTTATTTTATAGCTTTTCTTATATCCTGTTATTCTTATATATATTGCGTTATTCACATTGTCTACGTTATTCATAAATTTCTTATACATTACTAATAGAAAAAAAAATGATATACTAGCGTGCAAAAGTCTTTGGTCAAACTCAATATTATAGATGGTTGATTGGAAATGTAATAAATAATGTATAATTTTATTCCTAAACATTCTTAATATGCTTATCAACCAGTAAGCAAAGTTAGTGTTTTGAAAGTCACTTTAAATCAAATGCAATTTTCATATCAGCCGAGTATTTGTTTTTCATGAAGCGATTTTCTTACATCTAAAAATTGGATGAAAATACAATTGAAAGATAGAATTTTAGCAAATAAGCTTAAGTTTTGCATATTTGTTTTCGGCAATCGTGATTTTTATTTTAATTTAATATTGACATTTATTTTTGAAGAATTAGTTCTTACAAGACTCGAATTATATAAAAAACGAAATATTCAACTGAACTGAGTGCAAAGATTTAAATTTAATCCAAAGAAGATTACATTTTATGTTAAATTACAGGAGAAAATAATTCTGAAATCAAGTGTAATATATTTGTTGGCTTGACTAAATAAAATGTAAATCATCTCTACAAAAAAAAAAGCACATAGAAAGGCTTAAATGCCTTTCACGCGTTGACCAAAAACTTTTACACGCTAGTGTAAGTGTGATAATTTTTTTTAAAGCATGACTTTAACATTTTATTTATCAGACACCCTCAGTATCTTAAAAAATAAGATTAATTACCCGAATGAATTATTATTTGTTACAGAAATTTAGTACTAAATTTATTCCTTTAAAAAACAATCTAATAAAAATGCATATTTTGTTATTGATGTATGCTAGTTATTTATTATAAGTAGTTTCTTAAAACATCAGTACTGAAAAACATATAAACTATTAGAATTATTTAATTCAATATTTTAAAATTTATTTTGTCATGTATACTAACAAACATGTTTGTTACAAAAGTTCTTAGTTTTTTTCAAATGGCCAACTCGCAAAAAGTGTTTATTTTATTAATTCAGTGAAATTTAAATGCGTAACATAATAACGCAGACCGTTTTCTAAAAAGTTATGAACTGTAAAAGAGTTAAGAATATCATTCAATAATGAGAATACCATTCAATAATTCTAGACGAGTTTGACAAATTCAAAGGATCAACATACAAGATAGACAGTCGTTTAGTTTGCAAAAGTTTTGCTCTTTGTCATTATATAATATAAATTTGGTTCTTGATAATATAGGTGGTCAACTTGACAGGTTTCAATATAGGTTATAATATAGTTATTCACTTTATTCAATTATTCTTTATATAGCCATATTTTTTTAATCTGAGCTTCTTTAAGCCCATATGTGAGCATTGTAATCCTATTATACTCTTGTAGGAATTATGTTTTTGGATATAAATTACTAAGTTTGTTTTTATTTTCAAGTTTTGTTGGGGAAAATAGGTACTTTTCCATTTCACCGGCGCAAACGATAAAGCTGCCAACGAATTATGTTCACTGAATTATTTTTATTTTTTAAATTTTTATTTTTATTTTTTGGTGTTTTCTATTTTAAAAAAAAAAAACTAAAGAAATAAGGAAAATTACTGAATTTACTTGCACCAACAAATTAGAATAGTACCTAGTAATACTTTTGTAGAATGCAAACAATGGAATAAGTTTTTCTTTAAATCTTGCATAATTTAGGATTTTCATCTATGTTTTTTGAAATTTTGTATTGAGTTTAAAAACTTTATAAATTGTTTGACTTTTTCAAATGAAACAAAACATTTTCTAGCAGAATTTCTTAAAATAAATTAACCTAATGTGTTGAAATCTTGGTTTATTGGTTTTTTTTTTATTTCTGCAAAACATTGCTAAGATTTATTATAATATATGGTTGTGAATGTTAGATATAAACCAAATAAATCTATTAATCCTTGAATGCAAATTATTTTAATATGAAAACACTACTAATGTACCAAGTGTTATTTTAAAATGAATCATCTCTACTTGTTAGAATCTACTTGTTAGCCTTGATCAGGGCCTGAAGTTTCTCCAGATTTTGGTTTTCATTTGCTAAACTTTAAATAATTGATCATCATTAGCATAAAATAATTCCTTTTTTGTAACTAATTATTCTTTTTGAAGTAATAAATGACAATTTTTTTTCTGTGTTTCAGAAAAAAGATGAAAATTCAAGAATCAGGGGTGATTCTCATCTCTTGTTGGTCGGAGACCCAGGTTCATATTTTATTCTCTCTTCTACTTTGACAAGTTTTTGCTTGGGTTTGTAAATAACTTCTCTTTATTTAAAAAATGAATAGGTACAGGAAAGTCACAGTTCTTGAAATTTGCTTCTAAAGTGTCTATGAGGTCAGTGCTGACATCCGGTATTGGTACTACAAATGCTGGATTAACAGTTTCAGCTGTAAAAGTAAAATAAAACTTTTTTAAACTTATAAACTTGATTGTTATTTATTTTTACTTTATTAGAACAAGTTTATTATTACTTTATTACATTGTTTATTATTGTTATTATTACATTTATTATTATTACTATTTTTTGCCATTATTACAATACAATTATTGCTATTGAAGAAGTTTATTGTACGTACTTATTATGCATGTTGTAAGCAGCTTTTTCCAAAATCGATTAAAATATTTCTCTTAACCAAAAATTTTATGTTTTAAAAATGAATATATTGTTTGATTGTTAAGTATTAAGGTGTGTAATAATTGCAGGTAAGGGAAATGTATTTTGCATTTTTTCTTCAATGTCATAAATTCATGCAAAAATAGAATTAAATATTTCAAGCTTGCAAAACTTGCTCAATTTGAAGCCTAATTAAGTACAGCACATTTTCATAAGAAATGGATGTCATTGATCGAAAATGCATTTTCCATTTTTTCTGTAATTTTCTCAATATTTTAATTCAGTATATATAATTTATTGCATTCAAGATTAAATTTGCTTTAATAGGCTCAAACATTTGAAGAAAAAAAATTCTACCTTTTGTAAAAAATGCATCTCAAAAACATTTGCTAACACTATTTAATGCTGGTTACTTTTTAATTAGATACTTTATTTACAGGAAAGTGGAAAATGGCAATTAGAAGCTGGCGCTCTTGTACTTGCAGATGGAGGTATTTGTTGTATTGATGAATTCAGTTGCATTAAAGAAAATGATAAAACTTGTATACATGAAGCCATGGAGCAACAGACCATCAGTGTTGCCAAGGTATGATTAAAAGTAATCGAAACTGTGAGTAGCTAAAAAATAACCTAGGGCTTTTAAAAAGAGCTCTGTGTAATGATTATTTTCATAATGTTTCTTATACATATAGAGAAATAATGAAGATACCTTTTTAGTTATATATGTTATTATAGTTGTTTGTGATGAGAAAAGTGTAAACTAATTGTCTACTCAAATCTTTATTATTTTACGTTAGAACCTGATTTTTCTCAACATTATTCAGTAGAGAAATACTGTTTCGCTAGGAAATTTTAAATAAATATGGCCAAGTAATTTGAAAGACAAACTAAACTATTGTAAAAATTTTGAAATTTAAATTTTCAAAATTTCTTCAAATAATAGATCTTTATGATTTGGCTGGTGATATCGAAATCATATAAATTTGTTTTTAAACTTATGCTTGTAAAATTTACTAATTTCGTCAAATTTAAATACACTATTAGTGAAAATAATTTGACGTAAAACAATAGCAAAACAGAGTGACATAAATATGTATGAATATATCTGATCTTTTGCATTGTGTAGAGAAATCTTGATACTTTAAGAATAGAACATAGCATATGCATTTCCTGTTGTACATTTTTTAAAATATATGTGACATTTTAAAGTAATTTAAATGAATCTGTTTTAAATTTTTATTTCTATTGCTTTCTAAAAGATTTTATTTTGTTCCTGAAACTGTATTTTTTTTATTGATTATTATAAGTTAGTTATTATTGATTATTTTCTTAAGATAGATATGCTTGCCATTTGTTTTCGTCCACTTTTTCATCAAAAATTGTAACGTCATATAGATTGATAGCATCAAAATGTACCAAACCATGAACGATAATTGCCAAATTGCACTCTGTTTAGATTTGGGATCACTTTCTTTTATCTTTATGGGCTATTCATGATGTGTTGCTAGATCATAAAGTGTTCCGCTGCAGCATTAAACTCGCTCGTTTGCATACATTTTAATTTAATGGTAAATCTCTTGAAGTTACATTTTACAATTAAGATTAAGTGTATCAATATTGGTTTTATTTTATAACCATTGTTGAACAGCCGACTGAATTTTGTGTTTACGACGACAAATGTTCAGCTCCATAGCCTTGTAATTTTGAACCTAATCCAGAAGAGAAAGGAACTCCAGGATCAAGTATTGGGAGAAATTTGCCTTCGAGGAGGACTTTTTGATTGAACTAATCCGCATTTGTGTTGCATGGAGAGGAAAACCACGAAACTCCGCCACAGTTAGCTTGACGGCAAGGGGACTCGAACCCATGATCCATCTACCACTGAGGATATTTTAAATCAAAACTGGTCAGTGCGAGCCGCGTGTGAAATTTGGATCAACCAGCCATCTCTAGGATTCGAACCTGGTTCACTTCAATGAAAGGTGAACAATCCCTGAGCCTCCACGGCTCCATCAATATTGGTTGGCATATTTCTCTGCATATGCTCTTATGAGCATAAATGGTCTAGTCATGCTTGCTGAATTATGATTCTGTTTACGCGTATCAACTTATCAGAGTGCTTGTGAGTTAGTTTGTTGTACATTTAGGTTTGATTATTTTTAACTATTCATATAGACGGTCAGAGACAGGCTAAGGAGCTAAATCGCGACTGTAGTGTACGTCAAAAAGAGCTTTTAAAGCTTAATAGAAATGTTTTAAGGAAGATCATTGGTCTTCTTACTGGACACTGCATCCTCAGAAGACACCTATACATAATAGGAATAGAATACGATTCTCTTTGTTGGGATTGTCATCTTGAAGAAGAGACATCACGACACATACTCTGTGATTGTGAGGTCTATTCGGCTCAAAGATTTGAGCATTTAGAGCAACATTGTGTCAACGCCTGGGAACTGCAAGACGTTCCTGAATTCGGGTTCGGGTACAATAGACCTCTGGTCAAAGTGCCTTGCTCGTCAGAGCTGCCAAATCTTTAAATCTAATCTAACTGTTCATATAAATTCTTACATGTGCACTCCGGAACAAGAGATGAACATGCATCTCCTCTAGTCAGCATTTGTGCTATATATTTCAATGTTTTCTCTTCTTACAGTGAATGGCACCTTTTGGTTATAACTTTCAAAAGAGAGGGATTGTTTTAAGGTAAAGTATGTCACACAGCTTAAAGAAGTTTGTTCTTTTATTTTAAACAGATCATGATAGTAGAATTTTAAATTCTGACTGTGTTAATGGAAAGTGAAGTCTTTATATAAGCATCAAACGAGCATGTTATAATTCTGGGAGGGGACAAATATATTTAACATTTAGACTGAAAGTTTTGTGATAAATCCTCTTATACTACGAATTTGGGTTGTTCATTTTTTCTCTGTATTTCCTCATTCTTTAAAAAATTTATTTTCCTATCAGAAAAATTTATTATTTTCTGAATATCTAACATTTTAAATGAACTAAAAGTTGTATTGTTTTTGTGTTCCCCCCCCCCTGCCAAATTAGTCTTTTGCGGCCCTTCCTTATTTCAACACCGATTCAGTTTATGCATTATACATATTTTCTCATTTTGATTTATATTTCATTTGTATTTAGGCTGGACTTGTATGCAGGTTGAGTACAAGATGTTCTATTCTTGCTGCAACTAATCCAAAAGGAAAATATGATAACCAGCTTGTAAGTTTAGCTTTGTTTAATAGTTATTCTGAAAACAGCATGTACACTCAGCAATTATTTATTAACTTTAGATTTATTTATATTTTTTAATAACTTGTCTTAACAATTAATCAAGTGTCACAATGTATTCATGAATTAATGTTTTCAAGGTAGTCATTAACGTATTTCAGTTGTTAAACAACCAATAAATTTATAAGTGTAGAAGTTAAGTATTCTTCCACAAAAAAATGTCCATATAATAAAACATAATTGCATTATCAGAAAATATTTTATCTTGCGTAACATTGTCTATATTTTACAGAGTTATAATTATTTATTGAAATTGTCAAAATTTTATGCAACTAATATTTTTTTATTTCAAATAGGAGATATTATTAGAAAAAATTAATATTTTTTCATAATCCTTAGAGTTTGTCTGAAAATACTGCTTTAGGGAGTCCCCTTCTTAGTCGATTTGACATAATTCTAGTTCTTCTGGATACCTATGATGAGAAATGGGATGATATGGTGGCTTCATACATCTTAGAGGGATCAAATGTGTTAGGTATATTTTTCTTACTCTATTATTTATAAACATTTTACTTGATTGTCATATTAAATCAAACCATAAATTGATTGATTTGTTTTTACAAATCTAGATCAAAAGAAGAGTAGTTCAGTGTGGCCAATATCAAAGATAAGGAATTATTTCAGTTTGATTCGCTATATCAAACCAAAAGTGACACCAGCTTGTGAAAAGTAAGCACGATTATAAATTATTTACTAGCTTGTTGATTTGTGAAATAATATTACATTGCTAATTATAATATCTCTGGAAAACCTTATGCAGTACCTATTACACAAGGCTTCTTCTTTTTTAATATTTCAATGCCGTAGAGTCTCGATAATTCGAGGTGGACGGGACCGAGCATTCCTCTAACTTTAGAAAACTCGAATTATTGAAAACATAAAATTTTATAAATATTAAAATAAATAGAAACATAGCAATTTTTAAATTTCGGTATTTAATTCGGTATATTTAAAGAAATTTTTTTTTACATTAGAGGATCATGGTATATTTTCAGCATTGTACCAAGTTACATTGTTCATCAACTGTATCAGGTTAATTTTACTTTAAAATAATTGCCTAATGTAGTTTAAATACAATGCTCCTTTTTCGTGCAGCAATATCGTGCCATCGTCAAAGTGTCATATTGTCGGCTGGATTTGCCTCTGGCTGTTGCTCCATGCAGATTCTAGAGCAGCAAGGCTCTTGTTGTAACTCATTTGTTGCGTGGAATCTGCCAGATTTTCCTCTACACTGTCCTCTTGTATTGCCGGAGCCTCGAACGTTTCTATAATGGCCGCATCTACAAATTCTAATTGTTCATCACTATTTAGCCATGTGTTTACTACTGTATTGTTTGTGTTTTTGCAACCTGGAAATTTTTTATCGGGCTACATGGAAGCAAATCGTCTTCATCAATGACGTGATTGCTAACTGTAATGTAATTTCGTGTTGCAACATTCAGTCGTTCTATGTGTTGTGTATACGTTGGCCATTATTTGGGAGCAAGGCTGATTTTTTTCATGTGCTTGGATTTATGGGAAACTCGAATTATCAAGACTTTTCTGTATACCATTCATAAGAAAATATTTTAGTAGGATATTTTTGTCCACTTCCAGGCATGACTTTTATTCTTTAACTAATTTCACTATACTCAATGAACTGTTAACTTTTACAGTATTTAATTAAAGTTGCTTACTTTGACAAACGCTTTAAAGGCATAACTGTTTATGGTGTGGTACAGCTCACACTTCTGTGAGTTTGATCCAGGTGACCTTTTAATGAGTTGATGTGTATATGCTGCAAGGTAAACTCTATTAATTTATTTTGGCTGAAAATCTTCTCATTGTATAAGTTTTGTGAGAATAGTTCCAGCTAAAATGCTGTCTAAACAAAGTCAGCATTATGCATATCATAGCTGTTAAAAGTTAGAGCTCTGAATGAAAGGGCTTTCTGCTTGTCTATGGTTTGGAGAGGTGTACTTATTTAGATTGGGTCTTTTTACAAGTTGAGGATCAAACTTACCCCTCTTTCAACTTGCAGTGTGAACCATTCTCCATTTAACTGTCTTATTTCATTTTAAGATACAAATCATCCATGCCAACTATGCATATTTATCATTGGAAGTATGTCATAAATCATATTATGATGTATTCTTAAAGCGCTAAATATAGCTAAATCTGGTTACAGTGCTGATTTCTATGCTCATATGCTAAAAATAAATTAGATTAAATTCAATTAAAATTTAAGTTAACTTATGTTTAGTTATGCAAACTGTATATCTTTTGATTTTTTTAGAGTCTTACAGACATATTATACACGACAAAGAAGTTTGGCAGAAAGAAATTATGCTAGGACAACTCCTAGATTATTACAAAGTCTTATAAGGCTAGCTGAAGGTATAGCTTTATTTAATTAAAACCTAAAAAAATTTATTTCAACATTTTATCGTTATTTAAGAAGATTGAATATTTTTGTGTTTATGGAATTTTTGATTTTAAGCTTTAATTATTGTAAATTATTTGTATAGTAGTTAAAATTCTAAAAAAAGAGACATTTCTTTCACTATCATTATTTTTTTTAATTACTACTCTTTCCTTCTTCCAACTGTGTATTATTCTATTTTTGTATTTTATTAATATTATGCTGCACTTCCTTTTTGCCCTTTTTTTAAATCAATTAATCTTTTTTTTCTCCAAGGAACTGGAGTTCTTATTGCATTTTAATGTAGTTTAGTCAGATTATAATAAGCATTTAACAAAGATTTCAAATATTAATACTTCTTACATTTATTCCTAGTTATACTAATTAAAATATTTTAATTTTTATGAAAGTAAATATATTATGATGATGTGAGTTATATTATTTAAAAATATATTGGGTGAGTACAGTGACTCTGATTTAGTAGAGAGGGCTTCAAACTCTTTAAACCATATTTAAAGCTTTTGATAAGCTCAATTTGTTTAAACAAAAAACAGAAAGAATTTTGGCATTGTGGAGTAACTACAATACAGATTCTTCAAAAGGATTTCTGCAAATAGAATCTTTACTATTTTGAAAGGTTAAGAGATTCAGCTCCTTTTCCAGATTTCACTGGTTTTGTAGATTTCACTGGTTCAGAAAACTAGTGAGCAATATGTAAACTTTGCAGTTATATATTTCAATAACTTAAATAGCCTTAATATTTTTTGTGGCTTAACATTTCAGGTCATGCAAGGTTGATGTTTCGTTATGAAGTTCTAGTAGTTGATGCAATTGTTGCAATTCTATTGGTTGAATCGTCAATGTCTGAATCTTCTATATTATCTGGATTAAGCTCTCTTCACACTTCTTTTCCTGATGATCCGAATTTGGAATATGCAAAAAATGGTAAGTGAATCTTCATTAAAATAAAAATTACAAATAAGACGATATAGAAATTAAGAGTGGGGGGAATTTCTAATTTCTTTAATATGTATATATATATTTTTTCCGTGGTAAAATATGTTTCATTCACACAAGGAATTTAAATGTTGGGATGTAAAATATCTTATTACATCTCAAGTTTTTGATCATAAAAATATATAGCTTCATATTTTCCTGAAGGAAAATGCAAATAGCGACAATCAGATCTTGAGAAGGTAAAATTTTGTCATAATTGTTTTGTAGGTAAACTACTTGTAAACTTTTCATGTGTTAATTAACACTAATCTATTGTCAAACAAATATTGCCACTTATTTTTCTTCGTGAGCTGTTTCTTTTATATTAGAAGTAGTGTTTGTCAAATTGAGCTCAATTGGGTGTGATTTTTTCTAAAAACCCATGATTTTTTAAAAACATTTTTTTGTTAATGATATACACAAAAGTATACACCTATACACACACAAAAGAGAAAGAATTGTATTTGTGAAAAAACAATTTTTCAGAAGTTACATTGTTTAAAGAACTATATATACATGCACTTAAGTTTTAAAAGTGGCTATGTATATTTTTTGCAAATAAAGCATTTGTAGGGTTTTGTTTGGATAGAAACTCAATTTTTTTTCTTAAAATACCAAAGTATTTGTTTTTCTTAGGAAAAAAAACAGAGTTTTTTGTGGTGGGTTTCAGCAGAAAAAAAAACCCATACAGGTTGTGTTTTTCTTCTTCAGTAAACCCTGTTTTTTTTTGTTGCCAACTTTAATAAGAAGTCAATGTTGTTTATTTATTATTTTTGAATTACATTTGTCTCAGACGTAAGCAATGTCTTAGGATTGGTTTACGAAGTACAGAATTATCTAAGCACTTGCATAGTTTCTGTTAAGTTACTCAAATCCAAGTTTACTGTTAAGTTAAATGCCTAAATAGCCAGCGAATGTGTGGTGGATATATATCAAGTGCGCTGCTGCTAGAAATAAAATTAAAAAAATGCCCAAATAAAATTTTTTAATCTTGAACTGCGGTCTCGCTAACAAAGTAAGACTTTTTTTGGGATTATCTTATGTGTTACACTTATAGATAATACTTTCATGATAAAAGTTTGATGCTTGAAAATATGACTTTGTTCAAATGCTTGAATCAGGTAGCCTACTGTAATTTTAGTTTATCTTAAAATTAAAATATTGACGTAACATTAAATGTATGGGCAGTGTATATTGACACATTTTTGAAAATTAATGTGATTTTAACACACTTGTAGTTGGGAAAAATTAGACATTTTTCTGCATTTTGACACGAGTTTGGGAAAAAGAGTTTTTTTCAATGTTGCCTACTTGCTTCATTTTACTGTGACATTGTGGGTGTTGTTGTTCTAACTAGGTCTACAAGTATACATATTTTAATTAGTTTTTCGCATTATAATTGATCGATTTTTTAAAAAAAGTGTTTGTTATTTAGATCTCATTTAAAGATAAGTTTATTACAGGATTATAACTTGATCTTAAGTTTATATTGCATTATAATTTCACTTTTTGTTTATTTATAAAGTTATTGGTTAGTGGAATAAGTCATCTTCAGTTATTAACCTCGAAAAACAGAATATTTTAACATTAAAATTTCTTTGATTATCTGATACACAGTAAATATGTCTAAATCAAACAACTAGGTCACTTATCGAAATATATTAGAAGTGATTAATTTTGTTTTGTAAAGCAGTCGAGTCAAAAATGCTTAATCACCTCAACATTTTGTATCTGTTTTCTAAAAAAATTGTTCATTCTCAGGTGTAGTAAAACAATAAGTTCTTTTCCACCTTCACTTAGGAATGCCTTAGGTATGTAAGAGAAGAATTCTCTCTTTGAACAATAATAAGGAGCATTTGTTTGTCTAAAGTAGTAAATAGAGATTTTCTTTCACTTTAATAGCTTACATGAACAAGTTTGTATTAACATGCAAAATTGAGAAAATACTATACATTATTTAGATTTCCTGCTTGTGGATTGAGCCATTATTTGAGAACCAATGCATTCACATTAAACGGTTGGCAATGTAATATGAGACAAATTTACAGTGTTGTTCTTTATTTCAGCCAAAACTATTTTGGAGCTGTTAAAACTTGAAAATCTATTGAAAGAGTCCAAAAACTACAGAGATGGCATAAATCTTCAACAACTTTTATTAGATATAAATGGAACTTCTAGTTCCCAGAGCACTTCAGCAGTTTCATCTTCATATCATGCTGCTTCTCACTCTTCTGCTAATGGGCAAAGTGCTTATGAGAACAAAGAACAACAGTATTGTTTTAGTCCTCAAAATAACACTCATCCAAATGCTGCAGATGACGAATGCCCAAAAATTATTCAGGAACTTATTGCATCTTTTAATGAGGAGACACCAAAAAATTCTGATACAGAAATACTAAGACATGGTCTGGTTAACATAGGTCTGGAAGATTACAAAAATGATGAAGTGTCCACATTAGCTGATTTAAATAACATTTTTCATGAAAATTTTATAGCATCGGATGCTACCTCTGAAAGTTTTGGGAAAATATTTACGAAGAAAACTTCTCCCCAATCTACTTCAAATACTTTGCAAAAGCAATGTGCAGAGAATTCTGGCTACCAACAAAATCCGAAAGCTACAGAAGCACCTATAGCTTCTTCTGGGAGATCTTTTCCTTCTTTTGGAAGATCTCCCCCAAAGAAAAAAATGCTGTTGCATGAGGTGTCTGAATTGAAAACTGCCAAATTTAACGAGATCAGGAACCAAAATGAAAACAAAACCTCTTTGGACAGCAGTTTAATAATTAGTGCAATAAACAATAGTCATCAATCAAACAATAGCAGGCCATCAACTAGCTTGTTACAGCAAAAACTATCAAATAATAACTGGCCATCAACTAGCTTGTTACAGCAAAATCTACCACCAGAAACAGCTCAAATCAAATGTAAGATTATTGAAGGAGCATGTATTCAGTCTGTTGAAAGACACGAGCATGAAATGTCACCGAATGACTCTGCTAAAAGCGAATATTTTGAGCCAGTCGATAACGTTCGTCCACATTTTTTTAAAAGAAAACATTCAATGACTGCAACAAATAGTTCCCTATCAAGACAGCATCACGAACCTCCAAACGAAGAAAATCAGGTAAATAAGAGTGCAGAGGCTGAAGGCAGAGATTTTGAGCACAAGTCAGAAATATCTAAAGGTGCGAACCTTAAACACCAAGAAACATTTTCCAAAAAAGAAACTAGCACGACTTTAGTTTCGAAAGGTTTTGATTTTAATTCAAATACCTCAAAATTAACCTTGCGGAAAGCTATACCACTAAATTATTCAACAGCTTTGAAATCTTTGCCAATAGATAATAATTCAGTTAGTGAAAAACATAACTCTTCTGTCAATGATGATTTTCTGTCAAGTGTAAAAAATAAATTAGCAAAATATGCTATACAAAAAGATAAAAGCAAAGATACTGATAAAATATGCCAACCAGGCCCTTCCAATATTGTTAAGGCTGAACCGCATGCACAGGATGCTGTAAAGAACAATGATTCACCACAAATACCTCATACTTCGAGAGCCAGAATTTTACAAAAACCATGGGTCAAAAACATAAAAGAGACACTTGTAGAAACTACAATCAATACAGCTAGTAAGGAACGACAATTAATTGACTGTAGTAATAGACTGATCCAACCTTCACAGTTTTCTCAAGCAACTTTTAAAAGAGTTTTTACAGATGCAGTTGACATACCAGACAACAATATATTTGATGATTTGGACATTGAGGAATTGTTTGATATTGCATAATTATTTATTGTTGTGTCAATTTATTTATTAATTTTCTTAGTTAAAACATTTTTACAATTTATTTGTTATAAGCTTTTTGATTCCTAGAATACTTACCGTTTTTTGACGGTAGACCATTCACATTTTGTAATTACAGTAAATCTTTCTTATTTGTCATTTTCAGTCGCTGTGATGCATTTTTAAGTTAATTCAATGCGAAATATAAATTCACTTCTTCATTTTGTAATTTCTTCTTACATTAGCTCATAGGTAAATAACTGGATATCATTAGAAAAATTATTGTAAATTCAAATGAATTAGCTATAATACGGTAGGTGTTATTCTAGAATTTATTTCTTTTTATGATCATTAGTATTTTCAAAAAGGTAATTTATTCTTGAAAAGTATATTTTTGACAAATATATTTATTGAATTTTTTAATCCCACTAAAGAATTTTCCAGTGTTGCTAAAATCGGTTTTTAGTTGCTTAATCTAAAGGTAAAAATAAATTTAAAAAAAAAAAAAAATAGAAACAGACAGTATTAAATTATACTATACAGTATTAAATTACTTATGCAAAATCATAGACCATAGAATACTGTTTAAAGTATCGAGAAAAAGTTCTTAATGGATACCATGCGCTGTTTTTCTTTATCTCATAAGGCTAAGCTTAATTTTTTTTACTTTCTGAAGGATATTATGCTGTCAAATGATACTGTTATCGTTTAAAACAGCTTAGGCAGGTAGATATATATCAATGGATAAAATGGTCACATTAAAAATCTAAAATAATGCATTTCTGCAATTAGTATGATTATTATTATTCATATTTAAAATAGCACAGTGCAAGTAGTGTTTATTATCAAATATTAATACTTTTTTTCTTTACAATTTAACATGTTTTAAAAGGAAAATGTCTAAAAAAAAACCCTTTATAAGTATACTTTAAATATATATTGCTTTAGAAAGCATTCTAATTATAGAAAAAGAACTTCTAACATTCTAATAATTCTCTTTTGCTATCATTTTCTGATATGGAAAATCAAGGTAAATAATTTAAACTTAAATTACTGAAAGTGCTTCTTCAGAATACTTTCCTATTTTGTTATATTAAAATCTGTATATAATTTCGTTTATAAATTGTTATAATTTGGATTCTACGTAAACATTAGATTTTAAGATATACAAAAATAAATAAAAATTAAAGTATAAAATGGATTTTTATTTTTTGTTCTAAGTATTATACTTTAATGTAATTATTGTTTATTACATATTTATAATATGAATATATTATGAATAATTATTCATATATTTATGTATTAATGTTTTAAATATACTTGAAAAAAAAACTACATGCATTATGATTTTGTAGCAGTCACCATAGCTGTTGGGCAGTTCTTGATGTCGTAGTTAAAAATAAAAAGTAATGCGATATCGTAAATTTACCTTTAGTTTGAAGACGATAGAGCAAAAGTGATCCGACAATTTTAAATCTTTGAATTATGTGTATGTATAATTTGATTAATTGGAGAAAAAAATAACACCATCATAAATTAGGTAGTTTTCAGGAATGAAAACTACCAGTTTTATTTATCTTAAAAATTTATTCCTCAACTTGAGGAAGAATATCATTCATTTGAGGTTAAAAATAAATAGAAAATATGGAACTGAAATATATTTTGTTTAAGAACTCTACAGTTTGAATGTCTAAAAAATTAATCATCAGTCTTTTTCAAACAATGGTTGTTTCCTTGTAAATAGAAAGTCTTGGACATTATTGCATTGTCCCTGAAGTACCAGGTTCACATCCCCTGGTCGGTGTGCGAAAACAGTGGCAGATTTGATTGGGACAAAGAGAGTAACATGAACATATACATATTTAACAAAATCAATTTTTTTAAATATCATTTGCATATTCACAACATTGATATGTGAAGAGTTTCTGAACCCATTTTTAACACACAAAATGCATTCTAAAGAGAAAATAACTTTTAAGAAATTCTAAAGAACTTGAGACTTAGGTTTGAAAAAATTTGAGACTTTATGGTAGTATGACATTAAAAATATTTTTCAAAGCTCTGCCAAGGAAAATAAAAAAGTTTAGCTTAAGCTTTTGAGTTAAAGCTTTGTCTTTAACTCAAAACTAAGATTTAATTTTAAACTGTAATATGAAACTTTCCATAAAGAATTGTATCAATTTTAAAACAAACAGCTAAAATATGTAAAGCAATCATTGATAATTAAAAAATGTGTCACTTTGGCAAAATTTTTCAACTAGAAAATAATTATAATTTTTTGCCTATTTTTATGATACTGAACAATGCAATATTAAAATAACTTTTAAAAATTTAGACCATAAATTTTTTTATTTTCATAAAACTTGTATTTCTTCTCATCAATATTTGTTATTTGTATAATTAGTGTAGTTTCTAAATGCACAAAAGTTAATCTAAATCATGAATCACTTATCGCAGTTATGAAAATAACCAATTATTCGTATGATGACAGAGCTTTCAAAGAATAGTTTTAAGATATGATAAAAAAATTGGAGATATATAAGGCAGTGGCTGTATAAAAGTGTGTATTTCTCACTATTTTTAATTACCATAAATATTAATTTTTTATCAAATACAAATACTGTGAGATGCATAATAATTTATTACACATCTTAAGTGTTTTTTATTTTATAGTAAGATAATGTAAAGCTACCAAATAAGAATGAAGTGGTTTAAATTTATTAATTTAATATATTAGTGTATCATGTGATATCTCCAATTGGATGTCACATGATCTTACATTAGTTTTTTTGAACATGCAAAATATGATGTTTAAAAAACCACTGCCCAACGGATCATCCATGCGTGCGAGACAAAAATTAATACATTTAAGCTAATAATTAATTTTATAATTTTTTTAATTTAAGTGCAATAAAATATGCCATTGAAATAACAAAGAATTTTTATAACACACATGCATAAAACAATAATAAGGTATTTATTACATTTTAGAGCTAAATATACAAATAAAATGATGATTTCATATCACATTTTAACATAAAATGTGAATTTTTTTTGCTTATATTATAACCGTAACACATTGGGGCAAAATAAAAAATAAATTTATATCACATCATGAACATAAAAAATATGCAAATCTTCTGCTTATAAATCGTGACATCATTAAACTTGCTATGAAAAAGATAAATAACCACATATATATTTACATTACAATAAATAGATATGACAATTAAAATTAACTTTATTACATAGAATTTGGGCTTTTTGACTTAAAATTTTTTGAAGTCCGTTGTAAAGTGGAAAACTAAAATTGAAAGAGAATAGAAAGATTAAGTAAATTAAATTAAATAATTGAACACATTTTTAAATAACTTACTGAATACAGAAATGTATAAGTTACAGTGCATTAAAAGTTTATTTTATATACATTAAAAATAAATAAAAATTTTTATAGAGATTTATAAAAAAACTCTAAACGTTGATAATTCATTAATATAAAATGTCTTTATATAAAAATGGATATTCAAAACATTCAATATATATTTATGTTACTCTCTCTCTTCAACTTGTGTGCAAATGACACTTCTTGGAGATCAGAAATAGACAACTTGTGTGCATAATATCAACAAACATAACAAACAACTGTTATCTCCTGGAAAGTTTCTTTTTCTCTGCTGAAAATTGTTTTCCATAACGTCGCGATATATCTCTAACAAATTCTGTTTTTAACACTTTTAAACACCTGGAAAAGGAAGAAAGAAACTAATTAGTATAGTAATTTGTTTCACATTAAAAACTATTTTAGACAGGATAAAAACAAAAATTCTAATACAATGATTCATAATTTTTACACCCTCTGTTTTCAATAGTTATTTGTCAGATTTACTATAATGATTTCATTTTTCCTTTGCTTAAATATTAATTTCTATACTTGATTTTTGAGTAGGATTCTAAAAATATATAAAGACAGCCTTATTTTTTAAAGCTTGTTATAATGATATAAACAAAATTTACTTTGCAAATCTGAATATAAATTTTTCCAGGTTTAAGCAACCTAACCTGGCTCAAAAAACAAAACATATTTCATGCACAGACTTGTATGTCATGGTTGCGTACAGACTTTTAGAGTGCCATTATACTGGGTTGAAATAGTGTGGAAGAAATAGAGATTTTATAGCGTGAATATGATTAAAGAATGAATACAATTTCAGAAAAATGCATCACAAAAAAAAAACTTTTTTTTAATACTTACTTTCTATATTGGGAACTTGATCTGAATTTAGCAATATCAAAACTTGGTGCGTGAGGCATGTGTACAATGAATGCATTTGGAAGCACTACAAACTCATAACTGAAAAAAAAAATTAAAAATAGTTTATCTATAAAAATAGGCTTGAAGTTTATAAATAAATGATAGCATGTTGTAAAATGAATAATTGTGGGATGTTCTGTATAATGTTTTTACAGTGCTAATGGTGTGTAGGTAAAATAATGTAGCTATTAGCAATTTGAGGTTTTTTACATCAAATACTTTAATAAATAGCACAGAGTGACTTTATTACACCTAGTACCAAATCGAATTACACAGCGATAATTTAATTTTTTCTGTTTACAAATTAAGGAAATAGGAGGAAACAATTCCTTTATTGGTACCTTTATCTAAATAGTGTCAAAAATCTTGCTAGAATTAGGCCACCCATAGAAAAAAGCCACCTATAAGAGGATAAACTCAAGTAAAAAAAATATTTATTGCACCCAAGCTATTCATATGCATTTAATTTCAATAAAAAGAACCAAGGAGCGGCATTTCTGTGGTAGCAGACTGGGCATGACCGTGTACTGATATGATAGTATTTCCATTGCAAGACTTAAGTGTATGGTATATTATTTAAAAGAAAATCATTCTTATTATCACGACTTTTATAACTGCTAGAATTTTGATTATCCAAGCCAAATTTCTTGTAATAAGTTTTGTTCACATTATCTTAGATAATGGGTACTCTAAGGATAATTATAGATAGAAGATGAGTGAATAAATATTACCCTTGGGCGTATAACTCCATGATGTGCGAGACTTTGTTCCAGCCAAATCCCACAAATCTACGATCATATTCAGGAACATCTCTTCTAACAACAATGTATGGCTCAAAATCCAGTTCCCACTGAACTCGATATGGCGTTGTGGCAGTCCTCCACTTGGCATAGTTAGTGGGTGCATGTCCTCTGGTCCACACATGATATCTAAAGGGGAATCCAATATGGCTTAAATAATGTTAATAGTAGAACTATAAAAGGAATGGTTAATGTTAGTAGGGAGATTATATTTTACAAAAATGTTTTCATAAACAAACTCAGAATAAGTCTTTTAAAGTGCAATGGTGTGAAACAAATATTTTTAATCCATTAATACAAGGTCATGAATTCGCATGGCATGGTACAATTCTATTCTGAGATCTATGTTTAGATAGAATTAAGAATGTCCAATTTAGTGGAAACTATAACAAGATTCTAAAACCATAATAGAATCTTGAAAACTTCCAGCTTATGTTTTCAAGACCAGGGGTCTGTCCAAGCCAAATTTAATACCGTTTAGCAGTAGCTTCACAAATTCAACTTTAGGAAAAATGGTCATTTCACAAAATACTTTTTCTTAAAATTTTATTCTTGTGTCTCATAAGAAAGGGGTCCCCCTTCCTCTAAATTACTAGTGTCTGAGGTTCACTCACTGAAGTTAGCTAGGGTAAATTCAGCGTGGAAGCACCCACCAGATCATGATTGGTATGCTGCCAAATGCCCCGGATTATCCCTGCAGTGCACTTGTCCTAGATTTGCTCAAACCAGCTTTGTCAAGACTTAGGACCGGCCATATAAAGTGTTTGACCTTCAGGGCGAAAGAAAAGACTGTCATTGCTCGGCCATCGCTTCTCCATCTCATCTTTTGGATTGCATTGGTGCCTTTGTGAGGCAATTGATGAGTGATGGGGAGACTGTCAATGACTTGCTGCTGCGACATCATCTTCTGGACTTGGTCTAGGGCTCTAGACCAAGGGGATAAGCAACAACAAGAAATCCATATTTTATGTTGATTTTTTAATATAATTTTTAATTTTCACAAATTATGTCTAAATTTTCACAAAATAGGTACCTCTTAGAAAAACCTAGACAGACCATGTTTGTTTCGACTTGATGTTCTAGGAAGTTTTATTATTGAAACTGTATTTTAATTTGCAAGTAATTTTACCACTCTAGAATTTTTTCTATATTTTATAGATTCTAATAGGCCATGAATTCATAAATAGATTTAAATAAACTAATATCAAAACATGAACAGTGTAAGGTTTACTATGCTTTGAGTGTTATCATCAGTTTTTTATGTTTTCAGCAAAAGTTAAATGGAATGGTAAATAACATGAGTAACAATTCTTGTAAACAGTACAACAATATAGGATGAAGCGTTTTTTGGGCTTAGTTTCAAAAATAATTTGGAAGTATTAACCTGGTAGTCTTATTACGAATTTTAACCACTGACGCTACCCTGCTTAGCATTTAATCAGCTATGCTACCATATAAATTTTTATTTAATTTAATAAAAAATCAATTTACAGAGAGCCAAAAATACGTACCTAAAAGTGAAAAGCGTCCCCATGTCCAGCATGGAAAGTAACTCAGCTTTTGATTTTGGGAATGTCAAACGATACCTTTGCGTTTCAAAAGCAGGGACTATAAGAGCCTGTAAAAAATGCCATAAAAATTATTATTAAGATAAATTTGATTTTCTATAATTGTAAAATAATATTCTATGAAACTATATATACTGTGAAATGGCTATTCATTAATGTAAAATAGATAAATAGTTTTCTATATTTTTTTAAACTTTTTCTTGCATTTACACATTTTTCAAACAATTTTAGGATTCCTGAACTTTACTAAGAAAATATCCTTAGAAAATTTTAGACCCATATAATTATTATACATATACAATGGCAGGTTTATGCCATGAAAACTCTTTTAATTTAATAGTTGAAAGAGTATAGTTTTTGAATGAGAGAAAAATTATAAAATGTGAAACTTATTTTGTTGGAGTATCAATAATAAATGAAGGTTTAAAATAATAAACATATTTTACATAACTGGAAAAACGGAAAATTTATGGCTATGATTTTCTTTTTTTTAAAATTTAAAATAAACACTGTCTAAAAATAATCAAAATATAATGTAGTTTATTAAAAACGTCACATTCTTATTATAGTTAGTGATTAAGATCCAAAATTAATTTAAATAAAATAAACTCAAATTTAAAAATTAAATGCTATTCTCAAACTCTGGTTTGAGTAGAAAAATGTAGAAAAGAGAAGTCAAGCTCTTTGAATATGTAACTAATGTGGGAAATTGTTCGGTGCAGTATGCTATACCAGAAAAACAACTTGTAGGGTAAGCAATACACTCAGGTTCAGCAGAACTGGTTGTTAGACAACTTTATATGTTTGGATGGGTATGCTGCCTCCTGTAAACTGTTACTTTATTCTTTCTTTGTCAAAATGTGTTAATAAATTTAATCAACATTGGTAATATAAATGTATTCTCAAAGGAATATCTTAATTAATTTGTACTGTTCATTAATTGAGTAAAAATGCAGGACAAACCAACAAAAAGAGAAAACTTTTCTTTTTCACTCCAAGGAGAGGAGAGGAGGGTCATGGGTGCAAGTCTTCCGTCCCCAGGACGGATTTCCGTCTTTCGAAAATGTCCGCGAACGGAAGTAAGACGGAAACAAGACTGTCTCGAAGACGGAAATCGGATTTTTTTTTTTCTGTCCTTAAAATTATTTTTTAGGTCTACGTTATTGGTCTACTTTCTTATGACCTGTTGTTATTTTATCAAAAGACACATGAATAAATATTTTTTGTACAGTATTTAAACTTGATGATGTATTATGGTAAAGATTTCTTAGATAGTTTGCATATGTCGAGGGGGTATTGTGTATGTTAGGTATTTCAGTCAAAATATTTTCAGTCTTGGCCTTTTTCCCAACTTGCACCCATGAGGAGGGTGCATTTCAGGAACCTCTGCTGTTATGCCCCTAAACGTTTTTTCCTTTATACACAAGGACCACGCCCAACCTTGGGCAAATTGTGCCTATGGAAGATGAGACTTCTTCCCCAGGTTCATTCTCTGTTTGAGCTACGTGATTGAAAATCAAGATAGAAAAAACCATTAAGTGCATACTTTTGTAGATGATTCTAATCCCATGGAAGCCACCGACTTCTTGAGGTACTCATAGAGTCCATACATGGGCAGGAAATCTATGTCAGTCAGAAAGACAAAAGGGGTTGTGACCTGTTGCAGAGCCACATTCCGTAGTAAGTTGACCGGGTAGAATGGCTATGGAAGAAGAAAGAAAGAAAGGGTTGAGTCATTTGTACAATTGAAATATTTTCTTGACATCATTTTGATTTGAAACTTACTCCATCCCTGTATACGATGTGATAGCCGAGATTCTTCCGACTGCTGAGGATTTCTGAACTGAGAGTATAGCTGAGAAATTGCTGCACTTCAGAATCTGACATATACAGAGCTAAACTTATTGGACCTTTAAAAAATATACAGGCAACATTTATATCAATTGCAAATTTCATTATTTTAAGCAATAATAAGAGAACAACTGAGGCCGGACTAAGTGGGGCACACAGGTGAATTTAGAAGAATGAAAGTTTCTGATTTTATAGAAATATTAATAAGCAGTTAGGTAGTTTTTTAGTGCTCTTTTAAATTTACATGGGGCCCAGGGGGCGATTGCAGTTTTAGAACTATGGTCAGTCCGACCTTGAGAGCAACATATAGTATTGGTCAAAATTAAGAAAGCATACCAGTAGCAGTTTTTTTAATAGTAGTCACTTTTGAAAACGTGTAGCAACTTTTTCAAAAATTAAAAACTCCAAATTATTATAAAATGATTGATATCATTTAATGATATTAATTTAATGGATAAGTATTTATTTTGAAGCATTTCTCAAAATATTATAAACACTAAAGTTTTTTTTCTTCAACAAAGCAAAATGTTCCTGACCTCCCTAGTAGGTTTATGCAAAATTTAGGTATTGTACCGTTAAAGTGTGAAATCTGTTATTTCATAGAGTAACTAGGTATTTCATGAAATAACTAGAAAAGTCAGTTAACATACATAAAATCATTGAATTCTATGACTTAACTAGGTATTCTATAGAATAATGATTACTTGATCGCTACAGTATGAAATACGGCACTTAAAAGTTCTTTGAACCAGTCCTAGCTGCTTTTAGTCAGTTTTGAACCACTTATCAATGATGTGTGTGTACGCTTCATTCTGTTGCTTTTAGACTTAGTTATTAAAATGAGCAACAATAAATTATATCATCTGCTTTTCCTTATTATTTATATCTGCAATGGGGATAAAATGTATTTTTCAAGAGATTTTAGCTATTTATAATCAATTAATTTATAAAAATAACTTTGAAATTGTTTATTTTTACTTTAACGGTCTATCCTTAGGTATTTTATAGAGTAACCAGGTAAATTTTCATCCATTATATACTTTTTAAATGACTTGTCTAGTTATTTTATGAAATACCTAATAATTTTATGAAATAACTGAATTATATACTTTAACAGTAACATATATAACATTTGCACCAAAAAACTTGAGAGTTTGAGTTTTTGAAAGATCGATGCAACATAAAAATTTTTTATTAACAAAAATAAAATTTATCAGTTTGAAAATAAATCTCAAATAATTGTAATAACATTTATGAGATTATATTTGTTTGATTAATTTTAAATATTAAGGATTAAACCCCAAAGTCACAAGATTTAGTCACATGGTGAGCAGTCCTTTTTCCCTATAATGTATAGCATTTTAATTATTAAAGGGGTACAACTAGCTTATGTTCAGAGCATCTAAGTAAGAATTAAAAATAAACAAAACAACAACTGAAAATCAAGTTCGAAATATTGCATTTTGTGTTTATGGGGATTCTTTAGTAGTTGATGTCCATTCCGTTGCTATGTGTTATCAGAATACCAAATTTATCCATAGGTAAGTTAAAAAATAAGTTATCAATTTTTTTTCTTCTAAAAAATACAAATTATTTGTGTAGGTATATACGAAGCGGTGGTTATTTTTTACTAAAATTTCAACTAAATTTAATACTGAAAAAAGCATTTTTTTGAAGAGAAGGTTACATAGCATCTGTTTCAAGTTAAATTGTAGTAATCACAGTTAGTAACTTGAAGTAATAATTGCAACATTATTCTAAATAATTATTGGTAATAATTGTAGTAATCATAACTAATGGTACAAACTAAGAGAACATATAATTCAGAGAACTTTGAGATAATTCTAACCATTATTCTTTAATTAATACTACACCTTCTCTTAACACCTTTCCTTACAAGCATTGCATCTCTTTCCAACAAGGAGGGAAAAGAATAGTAACTTCTATTATTCTCACAATATGTAATTGGTAGTTTAGGTGTACAAATTGAACAATTTTAATACAATTAATGTAATATACAATTGTGGTAGAATATATTAAATAATGCAAAAGAAAAAAAGAGCAGTTAAATATTTTCGACAGTTTCTTCTGTGTTTTCATCAAACAGTTTTTTTTAAAAGCTTAAAAACTGTGCACAAAGTTCATTCTTTGCATGTTTAAATGTAACATGTTTAGAGATAATATAAAATTTTTTTAAGGTGGGTCAGGTAAGGTTTGACCTCAATAATGTAAAATAGATGTGAAGTACCTTCCCAGTGTTTACAGAGAGCCTCCACCATTTGAAGGCGATCCATTGACAGCTGGGCAACAAGCGTGACGTCATTGCCTTCAGGTGTCTGTGATGGAAGAAACATAGACAGTGAGTAATTCATCAATCTAATAAGAAATAATAATGTTAAGAAAGAAAATTTTTTTTTTTACTGGTTCATAATCATATTCTATGTAGTAAAGGTGTGTACGATGCTTCACAACACGAGCTCTTCTAAATTCATAGCAAGAATCATCCTCATCTATTGCATTCAACTAAAATAAAAAAAAGACCTTTAAATAACAAAACAAAATATCAGGATACTAAGCACTAATTTAAAGTATCCATATTTAATTTTTTTTAGGTTAGCAAAATATGCTTAATTATCGTTTAGACAAATAAACTAGCAATAGTAAAAACATTTTGAAATCATAGATAGATCTATATGAAATTATAGATCTGAATTTACATAGAAATGTAAAATTCATAACTAATCAATCATTTTTAACTGTAACGTAGATTTTTTTATTACTCTGGTAAAACTAGTGCATTGAAGTGTTAAGTTTTTTTTTCTTGTCTTAGTGGAGTAAATTTTTGGCATTTTTCAGTCAGCCTAAAGCAAGGAAATGCACAAAAAAAAAANAAAAAAAAAAAAAAAAAAAAAAAAAAAAAAAAAAAAAAAAAAAAAAAAAAAAAACGCTGGGGAAGGTCTACAGTTTTTGGCAACATTTTCCTCATGACTGGCTAACTGAAAAGTACTAATTTTATAAAAAAGTATAATATTATAAATAAGATTATTTGTAATACTTTCTCTTCATAAACATATACAATAGTAATAAATCATTTTAAAATGAGTAATAGATAAATAAATTAAATTAATAAAGTGTTCAGTGATATTGTGAATTAAAAAAAATTAAAACTTACAGCTTCTTGGACATGTGTCACTTTACTATTGTTGCAGCCAATTAGTTCTCTTCTTAATAAATTTCCATCATATTCCAAAAACGTTAAATATAAATTTCTAAAAAACTCTACATGTTTATTTTTAACTTTTAATTTCTTTGGAGAATTCCAGTGGATAACCTAAAAATAAAAATATTACTAATGTTATCTTCAAAATTATCTAATTAATAAAAACAGATAAAATATTTTTATATGTATGTATAAAGATTTATTTAAAAAAAAAAAAAAGCATTTGAAAAATTGTCATATTAATTCCAATTCACATTAAGTGTGCTTTGAATGTTCAAAAGTAAAGGTAAATTTATTACCTTTAAATCTTGGACTTCTGTGTAGCAAATCTAAGAGTAAATAAAAATGTTTTAGATTATCAAAAGCAAAACTGAAAAGGTAAACATAATTAATTATTATGATTAGTAATTATAACATTATAATAATAGTTGATTAAGAAGTTAGTTATATTTTTATGCCAATTGCTTGCTTAGGATGATGATTAATATCAATGAATAATGAAATTGAATTCTATTCATAAACTCTTACTCTAAATAAATATATCCAGGGTGTGCTATGACAACTTCCCTTAATATATATTTTTATAATTCTAGTCACAAATGAAAAGTAAAAAATAGCATGTTCATCAGTGATCTCAAATTAATAATTTGAAACAAAAATGTTGTTGCAATCTGTCACATCTCCAGTAAGAAAAGTAAGGCAGAAAATATCTGTGGTGTAACTACCACTACAATTATTAAATATCAATTCACTAGTATATAAGACATGCTAACTCAATTCAATCTAGATGTACCTTTTGATAGATGATGGTTGGCATTGTCGATAAATACACTTTCCCCACACATCAAAACCAGTTAAATTGCCTGATGGACAGTTGAATTTAATGTTTTTAGTATTGCTTTCAGGGAGGTTTCTGTATCGGTCGCTAAATAGATCGGCAAATTTTGGGAACTTCTGGAGAGTGTAATGCAAAAAACTGGAAAATAAATTTCAGCAATTGGAAGGGTATAACTTGTGACCATTCCCAGGCAAACCTCTACCATATATTTTTTTAAAAATTTTTTTTGCCCCTTCAAAAATCCTTTGACGCCTTGGCATTTTTTTCTTCTAGAATTTAAGTTAAAGGCAATAATAGCAGAACAAATTTTATTTTCATGTAAGTACAATAACTGTAAAAAGCATATGCAAGCGATAGATTTTTGCAGATGAAAAGAAATCAAAACCATAACATACTTCACTTAGAGTGTTGTCGCTTAATTGAACATTCCATTGACACGGCAACTTATAAATGAGGTAGGGATGCTGTTTTAAAACTGCATTAAAAATATCCTAAAAAAATTAAATAACACATATAAAACACATAAAAGAATAATTTTATAACTAACAAATATTAATTATCTAATAAATGTCTTTAATTTCTTATACAAAATTTTGATTTGATTTATTGATAAAGAACAAAACAAATTAATCATCATCAGTAATGTTTGGGCAAAATAGTAGAATGATTTAATTTAGCTTAGGCATCTCTTTCGCAAATAAAGTTGATTGAAAAATAATAAAGGATTCAAGAGTTGGCAATATCATAATTTTTTTAGAGTCGTTCATAAAAAGTCTGCAGCAGAAATAAAAATTGAATTTAAAAGAAAAAAAGAAAAGATTTGAGTAAATTTTGTTTGGTTGTATGAAGTTAAATATGTTTACTGAAACATAAAAAGACTTTCAATAAAAGTTACAATAATAATAATAATAAAAAATATAGAGCGACTTAATAACTTTATTTTTACATATTGAAGATACAATCTAAAGGGTTCAAGAGAACCTAACTGTAAATATGCTCATCTCATCAAATTATACTGATGATATTGCAGTGACTAGAGTTTAGACTCCTCAATCTTATTTGTATTTTATTCTGCCCAGTCATATCTCTGGCGCTATTTAAGCAAACTAAAAACTTTTTGTACACAATGGACAACTAGTCAAATTTTCATTTTACAGCATAACTAAGTTAACTGTTAACGGTGTTTAGAGACAAAACATAAATATTTTCTTCGTAAAAATCTAATCTCTGCTCTGAATGTAAGCAAAAACCGGTTCTAAAGATTGCAAAGAGGTTTTCCCTTCCCCATAAATACACAAAGCAAAGCTTGTTACGTAATAGAATTAGTTGAACCTCTTTTCTTGATTCAGAGATCACCTTACTTATGAGGCAAACGGACATTCAGAACCAAACAGTCAAGGAACCACAATTGCAGATAATAATAATACAAAGTAACCAATAATTTCTTGCCATTTTTGCTTTGCTATTGAATGAAGGGGGAATAGGTATGCAAATTAATGTATCACACTGTCTAAAATCCTGTTGACGGAGAGTATGAATATCAGTTGTTATAATAGCAGGTCCATCGCCCACTTTGGCGTTGTTAGCTTTACGACTTCAAAATGGACTGATTAACAACTGCATGAAGTAGCTGAATATGTTAGGCATTTAGAGATGGTGCTATGAATGAATGTACAGCATCAGCAAGACATTCTTATAAAATTCAGGTTGGGAGATTTGTTCTTCTATGATGAACCTTGCAGTGGACAACCACAGGACTTGGATAACACAGCTTTACAAGTGGTTTTTAAGGAGGGCAGTCATTTTATTGTGTGGTGAACTTGCCAGGCAGTTTAATATTTTTGATTAAAAAAAAAAGACTTCATCTGCACTACTTAGGTAAGATGCAGAGGCTTTAGAAAGTTCACAAGAAACAACCACTGGCAGGCTGTATGTCATTGCTCTCTTGCCACCGTATTGCTTCCATATACATTATCAGTAACAAAAAAGGGTCTAAAAAAAAGGGTGTGGTGTGACATTTCCAAACATTGGTTATGACGTCAGGATTATGTACCTCACAGTGCATGACTACCTATGCACCCAGCTTTGTGTCTGGCAGACTAGTCATCAAGTGGTTCACTATAAGCTGCTACCAATGAATCAAACAGTGACTGCTGATCTGTACTCGCAGCAATTGGAATGTATGTAACAGGCATTGCAACAGAAAGAGCCAGCACTGGTGAATTGCTGCATGGTAACACTCGGATGGATGTCCTGAGGGTGGCCATCCTCACCTGACCATGCACAATCAGATCACCACTTTTTCCTCTCCTAGGACAATCATCTTTGTGAAAAATCCTTCACCAATGAAGCAGATTTGCTTTTTACCGCAAGAGGATTGCACAGCTGAATCCACATTAGTAAAAAGTTTTGGGTGCAAGACCAACAATCGGTTGCACCTACTGTAATTAATTTTTTAGGGGATAATTAAAATGGCAAGAACTTGGTTACCTTGTAATTTCATGCAAAAAAAATTATTGTTCACAAATATAACCTTTTTTATTTAAAAACTATTTTTTATTAATTGTTTTAATAATTGCATTAATAATTAATTTGTCAAAATTGTTTAAATAAGTACATAATTTTGAATATAATTTCAAGTGATGTAATTTTAAATGAAAGTATATAAAATCGAATAGAAATAGAAGAAATAGTTTATGAGTAACAAAATCTGAAAAAATTAGCACTTTTTTAAAATTTTCATTTTCCAAGAACTGTTAGACCAATTTTATTCAAATTTTGTATGCAAAAATGCACAGTTTAAAATGTAAAATTTTTTTCCTTGCAATTCAAAAATGTTCCAATCATTCTGTGTATTATTTGTGAAATTCTTTTATTTTTGTTTATTGAGCATCTTAAGTCCTCAGATAATAATTAATTTCTCTTATAATCAGTTGACACAATTAATAAAATATTTAATAAAAACAAAACAACAACATTGGAATGTGAATATTTTATAATTTTTGCACATGTTTGTGATAGAACTCCATATTTTCCCCCATAGACTTTTGGTTAACAGCAGGAATTCTTTAACTACTTAAGAACTGATTGATATAACTATTTCAATAATATGTTATAAAAATATCTATACAACAATATCATATAATGTTTCATGATTGAACAATTATAATTACTTGATCTGCTAAAGACGTAGATAACATGCTTAGTAGTTCTTTTTCTGCTATTAATCGCCACATTTGCATCCATGCAATGTCACGCAGCTTTTGTAAATGAAGTAAGATAACACCAGTGTTGAACCCTCGACCCTGCAAAACAAAAACTTTTTCAGTACACCATAAATTAAAATATTTAAGAACACATTTATCTTTTTGAAACTGGAATAAATTTTTTGACAATGAATATAATTTTTTTTAATGAACAATTTACTTGAATACATAGGGTGTTAAGATAAACTTGATATTATTGGAATCCCCTTCAAAAATGAAGTTAAAAAAGTATCTACATTACAGTTAGTAAAAATATTTAAAAAAAAAAAAAAAAAAACACTATCGGGTTAAAAAGGCTGCATTGCATTTTTAACAATTACCTTCCAAATTTTCTGTGTTTTCTTTGGCAAAGAATCAAAATATTTGATTGCTAGTAACTCAGGAAAGCTCTGTATTTATATAAAATTATGTAAAAATTGAATTCAAACCAAAAAAAATTAAAAAATTAAAAAAAAAGCAGAAAAAATTCTATAAGTAATCTTCAAATTTCTAAATTTTCCTTTTTACAATAAATTATTTTTCCTTATTGATTTGAAAAATTGATAGTTCACCTTCAAAGCAAAAAACTCTCAGTGATTCTCTTTCAATTACTAAAAATCAGTAATTATAGTGCGGAATAATACACTTTTAACATTACTAGATACCTGCATAATCAATACAATTTTTAAAGCATTTCTTCAAAGATATGTTAGCTAGTAATAACAGAGCTGTAAGAAATCTTACCAATGCAGGCCAGGGTCTATGATTTTTCCATAATTTTCCTAAATACCAATCGCTTTGATTTTCAACAAGTCCAATAGCCTAGGACGAAAAAAAAAAAAGATTAGAAAATAAAGATTTAAACAGCAATGATTACAAATGTCTTTATGATATGTACTAAATTTCAGAATTCAAAGTAATAAAAGGAAAAGTTTAATTTAATTTAAATGAAATTGTAAATACCTGTTTGGCAGAAAGCTTCCTAAAAATACGCCATAATTCAGCAATATCAGTAGCAAATGTAACATCAGTATCTAAAACAATAACCTAAAGAAAGTATTGTAATATGAAAAAAAAATTAGTAAAGAAGTAGCAACACGTCAATGTCTGAGTACTGTCTCCCTAGCAAAAGAAATTTCCATTGCTGTAGAGTCTGGGATAGTCTGCTACACTCGGAAACAAGAAAATGCACTTTTCAAAGAGATGAGATTTTGATACATCTTCCCTCACAGGTCAAAACCTATCCTAAATATTTACTCTACACCCCGACTTAAATTAGATTTACCTCATGACCATAGTTACTGATAGTGCTCTAGACAAGCGCTAAGAGAAGTTCTTTTGTTAGCCAGACAGTACTCACTCTTAACAAAAATATTGCTGCTTGTATGTATGTTAACAAGTTAATATTATTGTAAAACAAAAATAAACTTTACAAAACTAAAAGGTGTGATAACAGCAATGTATGCTATTGATTTTTAACAAAACATTTAATATATTTCAGTTTGATAAATAAAGTACTATTATAAAAATTGATTAGGTATATAATTACTGTCTCTAATATGTATATGTTTTTTAATCCTTGTTAAGTAAAAAAACATCTATAAACTGAAGTTTACAAATTAATATTTAAACAGGGAAAAAACAAATCAATTCAGAATCTAAAAAGAATCTAGTAAATCATAATTGAAAAAAGTGGAATTAAAAGAATAAAGAGCAAAACCAGCTTGTTTGACAGGAATTTCGATGGTATTTTTAATAGTCGCCCTTAAGTTCTTCAGAAAACTATACAGTTCTTGATGTTTCAAATTTTTCTTTCTTGTTAAAGATTCGTCAAGTTTTAATAATGTTTTTTTTTCCGGCTTAAATATTAATTTTCAGCCTCCAATGTGAATGCTAGAGGAGGTGATTATTGAACACCCTGTATATGTCCTTGTAAATACTTGTAGATAACAAGTTATTGGCAGAAAATTATTAAAATTTCTTTACTGCAAATTACTAAACTTTTCATTCAAGAATATTTCGTATTATTAAATCAGAGCATAAACATCATTAGGTTAACTAAGAATGTTTCATAACTTTAGAGTACAGTAACATCATTGAAGCATTATAGAAAAAAAAGCATACTTTTTCTAAATACTCTGGTAAAGCCCTGGGTAGAACAAGTTTCATTAGACCATACACTCCAGAATAATGTTTATTAGGAATCCATGAAACTTCTGTTTGAAGATTGTCAGCCAAATAGAAACTTACATCAACTACAAAGGGAAAAAACTAATCAACCAAGTTAGGACCAACAGAAAATTTGGTAATGAAATTTACATAAGTAAAATAAGGCCATCGCTGCAACAAAAAAAAAGAGCTTACAAAATTACACAAATTTTATGCTAATTATTACATAATATACTAAATACATTTGACACAGGAAATTGCAGGTAAATTTGGTAATGGAATTCGCATGAGTATAATAAGGGTATAGCTGGCAACATAGAAAAGAGCTTACAAAATTATATAAATTTCATGCCAACTACTGTATAATATACTAAAAATATGTGACACAGATTCTCCAGAGACTTTTATAGTCAACAAAATACAAATAATATATAAGAGTTATCACTATGAAAATAAAATGAAGGCAATATTTTTCATTGAGCTAACTTGAATACAAAAGGCTATTATTAAGTTTATTAATACTTATGACTTCATAATTTTGAATAATAATAGACATTTAATTCATATTAGATGCTTATAAAATTTTTTAATTAATTAAAAAAAAAAGAATTCTGATAAAAAAGAAACTGCAAATGGCAGAATATTTACAAAAAAAAATCTATAATTGTAACAAAGGCTTACTTCATAATTTAGTGTTAATATATTTAGTTTAAATTCTATAACCAAGCAAAGAATAAAAAACTATTTTGATAGATTTTTTTCTAAAATAGGAAACCAGGAATTTTTTTTTAATTAGTCAGCAGCTCAGGAAAAATGGACAGTCACTATTTTCTTTGTAAATAGAATAGGCATCTCACTGAGATGTGATTTCCAAAACTCTCCCCAGTTTTGCCCTTTCCATTACCATGATCCTGATGAATCTTACCCCCCCCAAGCAAATTTATCCCAATTTCATACTGAAGCGGACTGCAGAGGAAAAAAAAAAAGCAAGATTTACCAAAGATATAGTAGTGGAGGAATCACATCACATTGAGATGCTTTCTCTATTTTCAAAGAGTTTTTTTTCTTTTTTTTTTAATACTAGCAAGCCTGCTTGGTGAAACCAAGCAAATTTAAGGCAGAGGGAGCGTTTCTTGTTTTTCAGTGGCGCCATCTATGACCAAGAATACGAATTCAACCACACACGTCACAGCCCATTTTACAGGGCGTACTCATTCATACAACCACAATTACGACACGTAATTTTGACCTGAAACAGAGAATTATCAATCTCCAATGCAGTATCCCAGAGTTATTGATTTGTTATGGGAAGATGGAGGGTTTTGTGACCCTACAGATTTAACGTGCACCACTCACCATTTACTATACGGGGAGTCTTCGTTAGATGGGGATCGAACTCGCGACCACTTGGACCCTGATCCTTTATTTACAAAGAGTATAGTAGTCTACTGGAAAATCCAGTAGAGTTAACAGCTAAGTGAAGAGTAATAAAATTTTAGGCTATAGCCAAGCAAACTCTCGTTATATTTATAATATTTTTTTGTGTCATGGGTAACCCTAGTGTTCATTTTATATTTCGCTAAACTTATCCCGTAACATTTTTTAAATTTTATTACTTTCTGCTTAAGTTTGGTGAGGTACAGCCGATTCTTAGTCTTGAGTACTATTGCTAATAACGAAAATCATTGAGAAAAACGAAAATGAAAGCGTTTAAAACGTTTGTGCTCCGACGCTATTAAGCTTTATCACAATTCATATTTTCATTAAAATTCAAGTTCCAATCACGAGTAGCCATGGGATTCATAAACCCCAGCATCACGATTTGCATTTACGCTATTTAAAAAAAACCACAGACAGATCGTAATGTAACTATCCGTATTATTGGTCGCTCAGCCGGTGTGATGGACCACTACTTGGGCTGGGGGTCGATTCCCGATGCAAAAGCTGCCTGTATAATTGGATTGCATCGTATCTTAGTGGTTTGGAATCTACTTTTATGTAATGTTTCACGCTGTTTTAGAGAGGGAAAAAGTCCATACACTGTTAAGCAGTTGAGGAGCGTGGTGCAGAGGCTGGGGGATTACTACAATTATCTCTCAGCCATCTAAATTGTGGTAATGTAGTATGCGTACGCGCCAGTATTGTCATCGGATTTCCATAGACAATGATTTCCAGATTGTCGCCAGTAGCCTATTGGTGACATCGAGTCACAAGCCTTAACTTAATTCTTGATCCAATTCATACATCGCCCCTTAAATCTTTTGCAAATCGGTCAGTTTCCCCCGGACATTCCTTTCTCCCCGTTTCTCGGAAGAACATCTGTTGGCGGCTTTCTTTGATCAGGCATGTGAAAAATTCGATTGATCGATTCGTCGTGACCATAATCGAGAGTTAGTATTTAAAACACTAAAAGTTCAATTTCAAAAATAGGAAATAACACTGTGATTTTTAAGAAAAATATGGAATAACACTTTGTACACTTTTAACTGGGCTATTTATACTCACAGCAAGAGTATAAATAGCCCAGCGTACTATCGCTCATTGGCATTCGAATTTTGTGATCGTCTTTAAGTACCTGACACTCAGTAACGTGAGTGATTTTTTTTTTAATCCCTTCCTCGTTGGGAGGTAAGGATGGCGTCTCCGCCGCCATTGAAGCTTATCTTATCGAGTCAACCCTTTAGTCATCATTTAAATATTATATGAATGAGCGTTGGAGTTGGTTACATCTTCAAAAATGGCTTTTTGGAAATTTATGATTTTGGACACCCGCCATTTAATGTTTATCCCGAAGAACCTGATTGCAACCTCCTTTTAAGTAAAATCATCGTTATGTTTTTGAGATGCGGTGACCGCCATTTTACACGCCTCCAGAGGCTGACGAGGTTTTTGTGTGCCCTGCCTTCTGCTCTAGATCTATCAGATTTTCCAATATTAAGATGCTGTACTTCCAATACTTAGATGCTGTGATAAAGATATCCCAATATTAAGATGCTGTGCTTTTAATATTATGATGATATGTTCAAAATAGAGTTTTCAGAATCTTTCAAATAAAAAGAATTAGTGCTTAACAATAATTTTTGATTCGACTGCTTCATTTTGTGCCTGATAGATAATTTTATTTTAAAAATGTGCAACGACTACCTCCTCTTCATTGTTCCTCCCAAAGGTCCGTTCTTTTGACAATATTGTTTCAGATTTGGACCAGTCCTGGCCCGCTATTTCATCATGTGCCATATGTTTTTTTTAAACTAAATTTTTAACCCAATATACCTTCAATTTACAATACCCAACATCTTAGCAACACTATTATGTAGCTCTAATGTGATATTAAGGGCTCCCTGAAGGAGAAAAAGGGTTTTACTGACTCTATGTTAACCAACAGGGATTTACACATTTAGAATTTCCTTATTTATTCAATAAATTAAAACTATCGATTTTATTTTGCTCGTTGAAACGAGTTCTATTGAATCTAGTTGCTGGATTTTAAAATTGTAAGGTTGCTAGTATTTTTCAGAGCTCAGTAAGTTGAATAAAACACATTTCAATGAATTAAATGAAATAAAATTATTCAAAAGTATTAGTTAGTTACTTAACAAATTAAGGAAATTCCGGGCATATAACTTTCCCAAAGTTAACATGGAGGAACTAAAATCATTTCTCTGTTTGAAGGGGACTCTTAACAACCATAACCAAATCGCAGTGCCGATTTTGAAAAACACAATTTCAGTCAAAAAAATTTGAATCAAGTCGCAAGCAATCTCTTTTGATCATAGGTTGTAAGTTGTTCGAGGTATAATTATAAAATTCGGTCATCAGTTAAGCAAGTGTACTGTATAATCTGCTGCCCAACTTGTGCAGGCAGAGTGCTGTTGTGTATTTAAATACACAGGTGTCCAGAGGAAGACTGACTGATTTCAAAGTTAAAAAGAGAGAGGGAGAGAGGAAAGAAACAAAAGTATGTTTACTCAGACAGCAGTAAACATTTCAGACAGAAACTTCGGAGCTTAGCTACAAAAGTTTCCGACAGATGGCCATCAATTACAGAACGATCAGTTCTAGGGTTAAAACGTGAGACGAGTCAATCGTACACGAGTAGGAGATTCAAGCCATGTATTACATTGAACGTGTGTTTTTGGTGCTGAAATATCACAGATTCGATTACAGATCTACGGCCTTCGTATTCTTTGTAAAAACTTTGTATAGTACCATCTGTTGTCAACGTTTGAAACTAAGTCTTAGAATTTCTACATAAAACTTTAGCAGATTTTACAAGAGACATAAATTCCTCGAGCATTCTTTTTTTCGAGATTTTTAGTCCCTTGCTGGTCTCTGCTTACCTCCAGGTACATTCCAGGTGGAGACCAATGTCTGTAAGATGAGCTGCGCCACAGAATCTGCTATGAAATGGAAATGTAGTGGGTTCTTTCGGTAGAAAAGAATGCTTTTGATGAGGGTAACGACGGATCGACTGGAATTATATCCCGCACACACAATGGCTATGTGAATCACTTCACACTTGGGCACTTCTGGTTCCTGGTTGACACACACAACGCTACTCTTCTGGCTCTCTTCCTCTCCTCCCCGGACCGTCTGAGAGTCGTTCTGTTGCGTCTCTGACATCACGCTAAGCAGGTGGTTTTGAGATATGCTGTAACAAAAACACAGAAATATAGTTATTAAATGTGTCTTGGGCCAATTGAAATATTCAAGATTTTTCAAATGTCACCGGCATTTTGCTATGCTCTCACGTAATTGTAGAAGTATTAAGCAATCAGTCTGATATTTTCAGCCGATATGCCTTTAAGTTAACCAAAATATGGGGACCCTATTTTCCAGATTGCGGCTACTCCCTATATTTTGGGGGTCGGAAATCCGTATCCGTCGAAAACAATTTATGCTTATTCTGAGAAAGCACGTTTTCGTAACTAGAAATATCATCTGTACTCATTATCATACTTGAGGTCACCCCACGAACCATTAAGATTGAGTCTTAGACCGCGAAGTTCCGATCATTAGGATTAAAAGTTATTCAGGGTGGTTCATTTTCTGTTTAGCGCATTGGACATTGATAAAAGCTTGAGATAGAGTTCAGTACCTGAGCTGCCTTCGCAGAAGTTGATTCTGTTCTTCCACTTCTCGCACTCTTTCAGCCAGTTTCGCCTCACGTCGAGTGAAACCCAAAAAGTTGTCAGTTCCCATATCTAAAAATAAATTCATATAAAATAAATTCAAATAAACTTTACTATTGAATTATGAGATCTAAAGCAAACACTGAACTATTAATTTAGCGTTTTTCAGTTAAGGAGACAAATCAGGAACATGATTCACACTTATTTTTAAGGGGATTCTAATAAGAATTCCATTCCTTTATTAAGGCTTTTTTATTTAAATAATGAAAGTAAATTTCGGTCCGACATAAAAGAAAGTTGATTTGAATGCAGTTTTCATAAATAAAGATGTTATACTATGTGGTCAAAAGTATCAGGACACACACAGTGATACGGTCAAGGAGAGTCCTGAGCTACTTTCGCATGCATTTGAGAGATTTTCTTCAAGAATTGACTTTTAGGCGTCCTCCACAGTTGAAGAGGGTCGCTGGCTACGTAATCTGCATCCTAATATATCTCAAAGGTGATCTATTAGGTATTGGATCGGGGCTCTGAGAAAGCTAATCTAGAAGTCCCGTTTTCTCAAACCATGACTGCTCATGTCTCTATGAGTAAATGGTGCAGTTCATCCAGTTGGAAGAGAAATGCAACTTTTCTTAAATGTTTCCACTGAGTTGGGTGAGTAGCATTGTCCAGGATGTCCATATATATCCCAGAGCTCATGTTTTTGACAAGAGGAACTAAGGAACCCAAGCAATACTATGGAAAATATCTCCAAACCATGATGCTTTAGGTAGGTCCCTGGATACTTTGGCAAGATGGTATAAATAAATGATCTTGAGCAAACGTTAGAACTTCCGCCGTAATAAATAAATAAATAAAATTTTTTAAGTGTTTAGAAAGAGACAAAATATGCAATACTGAATACAAATTACTTAAATTAACCAAATAGGGTCATTCCATAATTAGGTATCAACTATTTCTTTAAATATAAATGCTTCAAGAAAATGTATTCATTGTTCATGTCATATTACTACTATAAACTTAAATAAAATTATGTTACAATAAATTTTAAACTATTCTGTTTCATTAAAAAAAGTTTCCATAAGCATCAAACGAAGGGTATCTTAGTGTCTCAGTATTGAATAATTTAAATAAAGTAAAACGACGACATACAGTACAAATAATAGAATTAGTAAAGGTAAGAATCGTTTTGGAAGCGTAACAGGTATCATTAATAGGTACCATAACATTACTTTTCCCTAGTTTTGAATCGCATGTTTGAGTTTTTTCAGTGTTTAACTGTATATATTGTGTTTCGCACAGCCATAAGCAACAATCACGACACCCCGTTCTTCTAAAACAGTTTCAGAGGAATATCATCACACATCTACTATTTCTTATGCCCCTAAAGACTACTACTTCACAAGTTGAAAGAAAATCCGACTGGAAAGCAATACAGTACTTTGATGAGGTGAAATATAATGTTTGAGGATATGGCAGATGTGCTTTTTCTGTTGTTGTTGTTGTTGTTCCTCCCTTTTTGGTGAGTGGTCTTTTGTAACCTTGGCCATTGGAAATAAAAAAAAGGATATGGCAGAGAGCTGGTATACCATGTGCATACAAATACTCTCACATCGTCAACGAAAATGCAACGAAATAAATGGTTGTTTGGTAGAAAACTAGAAAAGTGCTGAATCTTCATAATGATTTTAATATTACAGGAAATTTTATTTTTGGGATCAGCCTCGTACTTTACAATTCTATGTATTATTATGTATATGATTGAGATAGTTACCTTCATCAGAGGATGCCAAATAGAGAAGGAATAGGGCGGGGAGGCAGCAAGCGATGGAGAAGACGACCACCCTGCGCTTGCGCATCCTGCAACTAACTCCCACATGCATCCAACCACCACATCACTGCAAAATAATATATTTTAAGTAATAATCTTCACACAGCCATGTTTTTGAATTTAAGAGAATCAAATAATATATATACACATTTATTGTAATGATATCAGTAATTATACATATATTATAATAATCACTATTAAGTACTGTTCCATTATCATCCATAAGATGTAAATACAAAATTAAACAAACCGAATCGTTGTTATTCAAATGAATACAAATATTCATTTGCTTAACAGAATCTAATATTAACATAATGGTTAAAAACACATATTCTCATTCAAACATATTTAATTATACATGCAGTTTGCGTGCGTGCAAAATCAAAGATTTTTGTTTTGTTTTTTGAGTATTATTGTGTGATAAAGTAGTTTTCTTATGACTGAAATTTATTCTACCGTAAGGTTAGAAATTCAGTGAGTAGAAATTTTCTCGTTGGATTTCTGTTTGTGGAAGCGAATTTGAAAATTTCCTCCATATATATATATATATA